CTGGTCGTGAGGCCTGAACTCTGGGCCTGGGCGCCGTCCCTCAGTTCTTCAGCTCAAGGCTAGCGCTCTACCACTTGAGCCATAGCACCACTTCCGGCTTTTTTTTTTCTGCTTATGTGGTGCTGAGGAATTGAACCCAAGGCCTCATGCGTGTAAAACAAGCGCTCTGCCACTGAGCCACCTTCCCAGCCCTCGAAGTACTATTAATGATCTTGTTTTGGTCGATTGTGAGGCTTGAACTCAGGGCCTGGGCACTGTCCCTGAGCCTCTTTTGGGCTCAAGGCAAGTATTCTACCACTTGAGGCATAGCGCCACTTCCCATTGCTGTTGTTTTAACTGAAGTATTAAGCTGTCCTTTTCTCCAGCTTCAGAGTCAGCCCCCCCACCTGGGCCCACCCCCTTTTGTCTTTTGTAGTACCGAGACCTTGGCTCAGTCTCCCATTCGCTGGGCCAGCACTTTCCCTGCTGTGTTCCACTGACTGGAGAGCTGAAGAGCTCCTTGTCCACAGTGGGCTCGCTGAGCATGACACACCCGGGATACCTTGAGAAAAGGGTCTCTCAGACTTTTTTTGCCTGGGCTGGCCTTAAACCTTGATCCTCCAGTTGTCAGCCTCGAAAGTAGCTAGGATTCTATAGATGTGAGCCGCCAGTGCCCATACTGGATATACTTTTTTATTCAGTGTCAGTTTGTATTGTCTTTTTTACAGAGGAGGGGGAGGAGGAACAGGGAGGGAAGGAGAGAAGGGAAAGAAAAAGGGGAAGGGAACAGGAAAGGGATAGAGGAGAGAAGAGGGTATTTTTACTTTGAAGAAACTTTTCTTCACAAATTGCAAGGAAAGCGATGGCTATCTTTCCATGTTACTTTCGATGCTATGTAATTGACCGATTTTCCTTGGTTACTGCCTGTGGAACTTGGGTCCTGAGCTGAAGTATCTCTGACATGTTGTTTAGGAGAGCCAGCAAGGTGGGGGGCGGGGGGTGGCACACCCTGTTAGCATCTGGTGGAAAATGGAAGAAACTGTGCTCATCGCTTGCTTTCTATGCCTGCATAATTAGGAGGAATAAGACCTTCCTTGTGCATTCTTTTTAGTTTATTTTGGAAGCAGAGCTGGGGCTTAAACTGGACCTTAACACTTGCCAAGTGTGCTTTCCATCCACGCCAGCCCGAGAGCTTTCCATCCACGCCAGTCTGTAGTCAGTCTCCTAACCTGATGGCATGTGGCTCAGTGGTGAAGTGCTCCCTAGCACGCATGAAGCCCCGGTTCAATTCTTTAGTACCACATACACAGAAAAGGCCAGAAGTGGTGCTGTGGCTCACGTGGTAGAGTGTCCACCTTGAGCTGGAGAGCTGAGGGACAGCACTCAGGCCTAGAGTTCAAGCCCCAGGACCAACCAAATAAACAAAGCAGTGGGACTGCAGACAGGTTGTGGTCCTGAGTAACGCTTTGGGCCTGGCGTTCACGGGCATTTGTTTCCTGTTGACCATGTGTAGGGTGAGTCACATGGTCGTGTGAGGGAGGCCGTGTGTAATAAGTCCCTGCTTCAGAGTGCCCCGTGCAGGACCCGTGCAGCCCGCCAGCGTGGTCACAGCCTGGCTGCGTGGGGAGCATCTGTGAGACCGCGGAAGGGAGGGAGGAGTGTTTTAAAGAAGTGTGCATTTTGTTTTCTAGGATCAAACCTAAATCGCTGTGGTTTCCGAGGCTCTTCCCACCTGGGCATCCCCTTCAATCCGTCCAAGGTCAGTCCCCACCGGGGCGTGGACTGAGCAAACAATGCAGACAGATGAGGCTGTCCAGTAAAGTGAACTACAAACTAACAGCGTCTATGGGCAGCCTGCACCCCCTCCCTGGAACACTCTCCCAGTGCATGTACTCCTGGGAATTTATACTGTGAAAAGAAATGGAATGGCTCAAGCAGAGATTGGCGATCGTGCAGCCCAGGCCTTCGTGAGGCTTCGGGTACACGCACACGCACCATTTTATTTCTAGCCAGTTTGTCCTTTCTAGCTTTTTGAGCTTATAGGAGAGTCATAGGTTTTTCAGCCTGTATTCTCTCTTTTTTTTTTCCCCCTCCGGTGGGTCAGAGCCTGGTTGCTGGCCCTGAGCTCTGTTGCTTACCTGTGCTCTACCACTTTGAGCCACAGAGCCACCTCCAGTTTTCTGGTCGTTAATTGGATATATGAGTTTCAGGACTTTCCTGCCTAGGCTGGCTTTGAACCTTGATCCTCAGCTCTTAGCTGCCTAAGTAGCTAGGATGACAGACATGAGCCACCGGTGCCCAAAACAAAACTGCTGGAATGCTAACCTATGAAATCATACCATACAGTACTACTTTAAACATATAACTAGCCAGGCACTGGTGGCTCACACCTGTCATCCTAGCTACTCAAGAGGCTGAGATCTGAGGATCACGGTTCAAAAGCCAGCCCAGGCAGGAGGTCCTGGGTTCCATTCCTCAGCACCACATAAGCAGAAAAAGCCAGAAGTGGTGCTGTGGCTCAACTGGTAGCTCATTCGCCTTGAGCTGAAGAGCTGAGGGACAGCGCCCAGGCCCAGTGTTCAGGCCCCATGACCGACAAAAAAACCTTGTGTCAAACTAATTAATGAAGCATTCATATTTCAGTTTCTTAATTGACATAAAATTGATTTGAATTGTAGAATCCTGGAACAGCTCATCCTTACGATAGTGGCCATATAGCAATGACCTACACCGGCCTTTCATGTTTAGTTATTCTTGGAGATGACTTAAGCCGCGTAAACAAAGAAGCTTGCTTAGCTGGCCTGAGAGCCCTGCAGCTGGAGGATGGGAGGTAGGATCACTGGAAATTACTGGAGGGGTGTGTGTGTAAGTATAATTACCATGTGTGTATCATTGTGTGTGTGTGTATGTAAGTATAAGTACCGTGTGTGTATCATTGTGTGTGTGTGTGTGTAAGTATAGTTATTGGAACGACAAAGATGAACATACACAGCCAATGGTTAGAGGATCCTGTGTTCTTGTCAGAACCACCTAGGGTGGAGGTTGTAGCTCTGTGCTCTCATTTAGCGCATGCAAGGACAGTTCAACCCAACACGGCCAAAAAGAACAAAGACCAGGTGACGTCCAGTGTGTCCAGCCAGTGCTTCATCAGAAAAGTCATCTTTATAATCCCAGCTACCTGGAGGACAGAGATCTGGGGGTTGCGGTTCGACTCCATCTCATGGCCTGTAGCATGGCCCAGGCACAGAAAGAAGCCAGACCCTTCCTGAAAATAGTCCACACACACGGGCTGGGCTGCAGCTCGGGAAGGCCTGCCTGCCACAGTGGATAAGTAAGAGGCCCTGATCTCAGTGCCCTGGGCTGCAGAAAACAAAGACAGGAAGGAATCCAACATATTCTTGGTGTGAATGAGGGCAGAAGTAATTTCACTTACCTTCTACATGAGAAACTATTTTGAAGTAAGCATCCACTTCTCTCCAGAGCTTCCTGCTGGCCGAGCCTCCGTGTAGGCTGGCTCCGCGTAGGCTGACTCCGTGTCAGCAGGCTCACTGCTGCGCCCACGTGGACGGCTGCAGCACTACGCTTGTTTGAGGAAGACTGCAGACAAAGCCGGCGCGCCGCCTATCTGAGCTTGGCATTCTCTAAACTTCTTCATCTTGGTCGATAAATAAACAAGAGCTGAAGGGAGAGATTTCCTCGCAGCAAAGCAATGGCTCACCCTCTGCCTCCCTGCCTGGCTTGCCCACCCTGTGCCCCAGCTCCCCTCGTGGGAGTGGCAGTGTCTGGCGGCGCATCTCGGTGGTGTGCAGTAGCTCTGAGCCAGAGCGCTCTCGAGTTGACGGCCAGTAGAGATTGTTTTATATCATTGTCCTAGTACGTCATACAGGTAGCATAGGATTTTATATCAGTAGCAGAGACACAAAGTAGGTGTTTGAAGCCGCCTGTAAAAATATTTGTGTCCAGCGTGTTAATAATCATACACTTGTTCCTTTCAGCTTCTGTGCGGTTCCGGAAGGCAGTGAAAATGACATGCGGTTTGTGTACTGTGCGTCCTGCATTTGCTACATGCTCAACAACTGGTCGGGCATGGATGTGAAGAGGGCCATCAGCTACATCCGCAGAAGCATGGTGAGTGGCGCAGACACTCCTGCGAGGTCCATCCATGCTGGCACGTGTGTGTGCATTAATTAAGATTGCTGTCCTGGTGCGCCACGATTAGAGACCATGCAGAGCTCGTCATAGTAGAGCAGATTAAGTCCTTGGTCACGAAAATAGAATACTTGTGTGTTTTTTCTAACATTTATTTTTAGGAAAATACCATGGACTATAAATAGTAGTCTTACCCAGAATAATACTTTGCTCTGGTTTTTTGGTTTTTCGTGCTAGTCCTATAGCTTGAACTGGGGACCTGGTCCTGTCCCTGAGCTTTTTCCTCACTGAGCCACAGCTCCACTTCTGGATTTTTTGGTTACTGGTTGGAGATAAGAGTCTCATAGACATTTCTGTCTGGGATGGCTATGAACCACAATCCTCAGATCTCAGCCTCCTGAGTAGCTAGGATTACCAGCGCCCCACTCCTTTGCTCTAAGCTAGTGGACACAGAGGCACCTTGAACCGATTTCGACCTGTTAGGGAGGTGGGCCAGGTGCACTGACTTCCTGTTCGTGCATTTGTCCTATTTTTGTTCCCTTGGTAAAGTGATATGTGCCAGAGTTTCCTCTGCAAAGCCAGGATTTTTTTTCCTCTTTGTAATTATTTACTATCTCATAATTTGGATGCTTTAAATACACTGTCATGAAACTTCTATCCATTTGTGTTTAAGTGTGCACTAATGGTTGTCTGGCTCTGACCGCCATGCTATAAATGGCGATGGAAATGCTTCAGACTGAATTGTTGTGTTATTTCATGGGCTACAGTCTTTCTTGTCAGTTCCTGTTTGGCTGTTCATTGAGGCTCCGATGTAGCCACTGAGCGTCTTCTCACACAGGCTCGGCTCGGCTCGCCGCGTTTCCTTCATGCTCAGGGCCTTCCTGCTTCCCGGCATAAGATATTCCAGGTTCATCTGCAGTCCTCGTTCTTCTGGAGGACGGTGCTGAGAGAGTGTGCATGGCTTCTCCGCCCTTCTCAGTAGGCAGGGCTAGATAGTGTGTGGACGTTTTCCCAGACGCCCTCACACAGACACACGCAGTGTACATGTGTCTGTCCACGTACTGCACACCATGATCCAGTGCAAGAGTTCTTCAGTTCTCTGATACTACAGTGTTCATTTATTTTTCCTCTTTAGTGTCTGTATGTCATTTATTTGAAGTCGGCTTCAGGTGTTTGCACAGTTTGGGTCCCCCCCTCTTTGTTGACCTTCATTTATGTAACGTGTGCGATGCTGGCCTGCTTCTGAATATCAGGACTGTGCGAGAGCCATGTTCAGAGAGGTGTGACCCTCCGCCCTGTGCCTGCCATCTGGTCGACAGGATGTCTTACTGGTTTTTCCATCATTTTCCTTGTGTTGCTTCTTCATGGGACAATATAAACCTATCTACTTCTCCTTTCCCTACTTCAGAGATAGTCTACCCCCGGCCTTGGTTTTTTCCCCCACTGAACAACATACCTTGAGACTCCCCTGCCAGGTCGTGTTTTCCTCATTCTTTCTGGTAAAGCAGTGTGCTGCCCCTTAGTGGTTTCAGACGTTCTGTATGTAGTGTGTGTGTGAACTTGGTGTCACTCCCATCCCATGTCAGTGTCCCACGCTTCTTCACTGCGCTTGTCATCTGCGTGTCGCTTTGGTCTTCTTCGCTGCATGTGCGGTCCTCTTCACGATGCCTTCTTAGAAAGGCAAGCGTCCTGTGCGCTCACCACCCGGCTATGGCGCCGTGGCAGAGCCACGGTGGAGCCGCTGGCAGACAGGGATGGCACTGATCACTGATCCCGATGGCATTTGCCATTCCTGGACCAAAGAGCTTACTTTAAATGGTTGAAACCAGTATGCTGTGATGAATGAGATCTAAGCCATTTGTAAATTTACACTCTGGGTGACTGGACTGGGTACGTGCTGGAACTGTGGGGGCCAGCTTGCCCGAGACGCTGTGTGGGGACCGTGAGTGTGCAGAAGGCCTGCCTCCCAGCAGTGCCCCTTTCTCCTCCTCAGCCCTTAGCACAGTTCAGCTCTCTCAGCTCGGTGACTGTCAGAGCTGGCCTGCCAGCGCTCCACGTGTCTTCCTCTACCGGCAGTGGTCTGACGCTTCATCATGCTTTCTAAAACCCACACGTTTTCACTTGTTCTCCTCGCTCTCTTGATTTTGGAGGAAGTGTGAGGAGAGGGAAGTTTTATGCACAGGCTCGTTATATTTTCAGTCAGCCAATACATACTAGGAAGTGTGCAAGGGAAGTAGGGCCCGAATACTGGGTAGAGCTGGGTCTGTAGACAGTATCTCCGAACTGAGTCCCTGCACTCAGACATTTGGTTTGGGAAAGGAGACTAGGCTGGGTCCTTGAAAATGGCTACTTTTACTTCTCTGTGGAGAAAGAGTGCATATTTTGGAAAAAAAATTTTTTTTTTTTTTTAATGGAGTGTTAAAAAAAAAGGGCTGGGAAGGTGGCTCAGTGGTAGAGCACTTGCCTTGCATGCCTGAGGCCCCATGACTGGACCCCCCCCCCAAAAAAAAAAAGAAAGAAAGAAAAAGGAGTGTTCTTCATGTATTACTATTTCTCAGCAAACTAAGCAGTGTTTTCTTTTTCAGTCCTACGACAATGGGTTGGCCCAGGGAGCCGGACTTGAATCTCACGGTGAGACTCAATAAACATGCTGCTGTCTTTCACTTCCTTGAAAACTGTAGCCTGATGTGTGTGCTTTCGTTCTCTCTTCCATTCTGCAGTTCTAGACTGAAGCCTCCTAGTCTCTAGTCATCACCAGACCATGATACAGTTATCTGTTCGCTAATTAGCTGCATGAAAATACCTTGCAGCTATTCCTTAAGCTGTTGTTTAAAAAATAAAAGCTTAGCCAGGCACTGGTGGCTGGTGGCTCATGCCTGTCATCCCAACTACTCAGGAGGTTGAGATCTGAGGATCACAGTTCAAGGCCAAGGAAAGTCCATGAGACTCTTATCTCCAATATACCACTCAGAAAACTGGAAGTGGCGCTGTGGCTCAAAGTGGTAGAGCACTAACCTTGAGCTGAAGAGCTCAAGGACAGTACCCAGGCCCAGAGTTCAAGCCCCACAACCAACAGTAAATAATACAAGCTTAGTTTTCTTTGGCTTAACATTTACTTTCTTAAGTATAATATTTTGTATAGCTTCAAATTACCTTATGTTGATCAACGCGGCATGGAAGAGTTTCTGTACTGAGTGGATATTTTGAAATTGTCGTTTAAAAATTATATTTCACTGTTTTCATTTAACCACTCCCCCCCCCCCAAGTAATTTGTACAATGTTTTCATAGCATCTCAGTTACGGGCTTTGTTTAACAGGAGGATCAACTTTCTGTGGCATTGCCTCCCTGTGTCTGATGGGCAAGTTGGAAGAGGTGTTTTCAGAAAAGGAGCTGAACAGGATAAAGAGGTGGTGCATAATGCGGCAGCAGAACGGCTACCATGGGCGGCCCAACAAGCCTGTGGACACCTGCTACTCCTTCTGGGTGGGAGCGACTCTCAAGGTGAGGGCCACCCGGGCGCCTGCACTGCCCATCCAGCAGGATTAGCTGAGGCCAGCTCTCTTTGTTTGCTGCTTGAAAACGTCCATCCTTACACCAACTCCGAGACCACCTGCCTCCCAGAGTCACAAGTACTTGTTACTGAAGCTAACCAGTGCTTTGTGTAGAAGAGATTTCTTTCTAGAAGTTATACCAGTAAAGATTATGTGGGAGCTGTTAATTTAAAAATACCAGGTGCTTAGGGGCTCACACCTATAATCCTAAAAATAAGAGTAAATGGTGTTTTTAAAATGACAGATGGGTCAAGTGTACTGGAGAAGTTATATGTTGAGTCTACATCCGTTTGGCTTGATTCAGAAGAAAAAACCAGCGGGTTGGGAAAAGGAGAATGGATGTGGTAAGGAAATACACACTTGGGCAGTTGACTACTTTCAGGTGCTCAGGTCTGCAGAGAGCTGCCCTGGGGACCTTAGCTGGAGACTCGTCACGGACGACACACACTGAGTCATGAGCCGGAGGGTAGCATAAGAGCTTACGTGTTCATGGCTTTTTGTCATTTCAGCTCCTGAAGATTTTCCAGTACACTAACTTTGAGAAAAACAGAAATTATATCTTATCAACTCAGGACCGCCTCGTAGGGGGATTTGCCAAGTGGCCGGACAGCCATCCAGGTACCGTCCAGGACAGTCCCTCCCGAGGCCCTCCCTGCCCTGCCCCTCCCCACCCTGCCCTGCCCCGCCCTCCCTGCCCTGCCCCTCCAGTCCACAGTAGAATCTCAGGAAATTTTCCTTTGATAACACTTTTTTTTTTGTGGACTGTCGGACTTGAACTCGGCCTTTGGGCCCTGTCCCTCAGCTCTTCAGCTCAAGATGAGCGCTCTACCGCTTGAGCCACAGTGCCACTTCCAGTTTTCTGGTGGTTCATTGGAGATAAGAGTCTCACAGCCTTTCCTGCGTGTGCTGGCTTTGAACCATGATCCTCAGATCTCAGCCTCCTGAGTAGCTGGGATGACAGGCGTGAGCCACCAGTGCCCAGCTAATAACTCATTTTGATGATATGTATTTTAAAACTTGGTGTTTGAGACTTAGCAGAAGCAAATATTTCAAAAACTAGCATTTTCCTGAATGTGATTTTAATTTTCTGTGGGGCTGCTGGATATGTATTTTGAAGTGTGTGCATACGATAACTAAAATCACCTGCCTTCCAGATGCTTTGCATGCGTACTTTGGGATCTGCGGGCTGTCTCTCATGGAGGAGAGCGGCATCTGCAAAGTCCATCCTGCCCTGAATGTGAGCACACGGACGTCAGAGCGCCTTCGAGATCTCCATCGCGCGTGGAAGAGCCAGGGCTGCGTACAGAGCTCGGAGCACGTGCAGGTAGAGACGTGACGGCGGCAGGCCGGCGCGGAGCACAGCTGCAGCACCAGGCTAGAGGCCACGTGCGACCAAGTGTGCTCCTCCACAGAGAGAGCGACACCACCGCGCGGTGCAACCTTCCCACCAGGCTTCGGGAAAGCCTCGGGTGAAGTTTGAACCACAGCAGTGGATGTTGTTTGGTTCTTAAATGTTACACTGTATTTTTAAGAAATTCTTTGAGGCAAATCAACTGTGTGGAGGTAGGTTATCTTTTTAAAACGCTTTGGTACAAATTATATCTTAAAATATGGACACAGATCTTCAAACCAGTTTACACTTCTCTCAGCGTTGATAACCCTCAAGTGGCAATGACTGTTTAACGGTCCTGACTGGTGCCGGTTGGGGAAAGACGGCTTTACTGAATCATGTGTCAGGATCACTCTTCAAAAAGAGATGATCCCATCATTTGTTTTTTTTTTAAGAATGACTTGTTTTATTCTTCAGTGTGCCAATTAAAACTTTTGTGGCCTATAAAAATGAAATTAATTGTTTGTAACAAGAATAAATAGGTGCAACTAATACTTTAGTTTTCTAAAGGGAAATTGTTTTCAGAGGACTATTATGTAAATGAGAGAAAAGTAACCTGACTGATTATAAATGAGAAAGTTTTGTGTTCTGTGAGTCTTTAGACATTGCTGGTGTGAGTATCGATGTGTGGGGTTTTTAACTCTGATGCATTCACTGCCTTCTAAGGGCAGTGGGGGGGAGACACTTTTTTAGCAGGAAAGACAGTGAGTATTATTTTTCTGAGATTTTTGATACTGTAAATTATACTTGTTCTTTTATAACTAAGTGATTTTTAGCCATTTGGAGATTTTCTTCCTTTTTAAAAAAATTTTTTTGTTGCTCTCAGTGTATAAACTGCTCTAATTTTAAACTTCCAGTCTGAGCATCCTTAAATTCAAAATCCAAACTCTGAAATGCTCTGAAACCCCAACTCTGCGTACCTACGGGACCCCCGGGTGGAAAGTTTCATAGACCAAACATGCAGGCATGCTGAAACTACCTTTAGCTGCTGGTATCATCAGTCAGCTTTTTACTTAACCTTGGATCCCGTCCGTGAGATACGATGTAGATATGGAAAGCCCAGATCTGAAACCCTTGTGGTCCCAAGCATTTTGGACGAGGGATGCTTAATCCACAGTAATTGTTCTTTTCAGTTTAAAGAGTTCAAATACAAAAAGGGAACCACTCAAGTAAGCTTCATGGTGCGGCTCCGTGCATGTCATTTCTATTTTTATAGTTCAGGTAAGTGCTAGGGAGATACAGAACCATCCAGAGCTTAAAAACGTTAGTTTGCTTTAATTCGTTGTTTTGTCTTCATTCTGTGAACTCGCTCGTCCTAAAGGAGCTAGGGTAAAAACGGCTCCACGCGAGCTACCAGCTCAGCACACACCACGGCCTTCAGCTCAGGTAGACAGACAGGCAGGAGTCCAGTCCTGAAATGGAGAAAGAAAATTCTCCACTGCAAGAGCCAGGCTTCCATCAGTCCAATAATAAAAATTGAATTGTTCTACAGACTTCAAAAGCTAAATGATTAGGAACACTAGGTACCGTATTTTTTAGGTATAGGCATTTTTAATTTACTTTTATTTCTTTTCTGAGACATGCCCTAAAATAAAACCCTTCTAAAAGGAAATGCGGATACTTGAAACAGTCATTTATTTATGATTGGCATGCTTAGTTTTCAACCTGATTTTACAAAGTCAACTTGAGCCTTTTTATTTGGGGGCTGGGGGCAGGTAAGAGCAGGTGAGGGTGTAACTCACTGAACACTTGCCCGGTATAGATGCGGCCTGACTTTGATCACCAGTGCGGGAAGAAAAGTTAAAAGCCTGATTGGAAATTTCCCATCAGTGGGAGAAAATAAGCTTGCCAGATTTTATTCTTCTGTAGGTATTCCAGTTGCTTCTGTTTCAGTCCTGGAAAGTTCACACCTGGCCGTGTCAGGCTAAGTTATCACCTAGATACGTAGACCCTGACTCCGGGGTGTGCCAAGGCCCACGCTGCCTGTCCTGAATATAGAGCAGTGGGCTCTATATTCTGAAGTGACTAATAGCAAGATTTTTTTTTGGGGGGGGGTCCGGTCATGGGGCCTGAACTCTGGGCCTGGGCGCTGTCCCTCAGCTCTTCAGCTCAAGGCCAGCGCTCTACCACTTGAGCCACAGCGCCACTTCCGGCTTTTTTCTTTTTGCTTATGTGGTGCTGAGGAATCAAACCCAGGGCCTCAGGCATGCAAGGCAAGCGCTCTACCACTGAGCCACCTTCCCAGCCCAGCAAGAGACTATTCATGACACAGTGACTCTAGTTGACATACCTGGGGCAGGGTTTCTTGTGAAATTTGAGAGTCCAGTGAAAGTTCACTTTTCACAGAAACCTATTGACCAGGAAATAGGTCCTTCACTTGTGGAAAAATTACTGCTAACACGTTCAAGTGTTTACTTGGCAAGAAAAATGGTAATAAATTGTAAGCATCAGTTCACATCTGTACTCTGTTCTTTACGGTAGTGATATAGTGAGAAGAGAAGTGTATTTGTATTTGTTAAATTTTTAAGGAATCATTTCCAAGTAATGGAAGCTCAAAGTTTGCCGACAGTGGCCCACAGCTGGAGGGCAGCTGGCCCTGAGAACATTTGGTAGACTTCAATAAGGAGATGCCTGGAGGCCGGATGATTTGGGTTCAATCCCAGATCTGCCAGGTGAGCAGCGCCATCTTGGACCCTAGACTTGCCATTGGTAAAATGAGAAAAATAGGACAAACTCGTGGGTGTATTGAGAGTTGAGTGAGTCAGGGAGCGTCAAGCATGGAGTGCAGCGCCAGCATCGCAGTGAAGCCCTGGTGCACTTCGTGTCATATCATCATAAGACTCCGCGTAAAGGTGGAGTCGTTCAGAGCTTAGCCTCAGGGAGGAGGACTGGGGGAAGGCGGCTGGTTCCTGAGCTCCCGCTCTGCGGCACTGCCCACAGCCCTCAGGAGAGTTGAGTGGACCAATGAGAGCAGAGCCGATGCAGAGACCCTTCTCCAGAGGGGCCATGCAGCAGGGGAGTGCTGAGGAGAGGTGGCCCCGTGCTCCCGGGGGGACCCTGCGAGACTTGACATCCAACCTGGACAGGACGGGCATGTCCGCGGGGACATCCGCAGGCAGGCAGTCGCCCAGAGCACCCTCCCAAAAGCACAGACAGACCCGCTTCAGGCCAGAAGCTGGCAGGGCCAGGACTGGGGAGCTCAGTAAGACAGCTCCTGGTACTTGGGCTGCTACCCAGAAAGCCCGAAGCTGATGACCCAGTACAGTAGCAATAAAACACAGCGGACGTCCCAGGGCCCTTTGGACCACGCGTGAGGCCACACTCTGGTTGCACTTGGGAGCCTTGCCAGTCACTAATGGACGAGCAAAGCACGTGCCAGCACGAACACCTGCTTTGCATCGGTGGGGCGCGCGTGGGTCACCCCCACCGCTTCAGCTCTGGAAGAGAATGCGGGGCCTGCTGCTGGGAGTGTCTTGTTTCTCCTTACGCAGGTGCACTCGCTTTATGAGTATTTATCCATCTCTGCACACATCATTTTTGCTATGTATGTATGATTTCAATAAAAAGACTTTGTAAAAAGAAAAGACTGTACACATGTACAACATTCACGTGTGTGTATGTCTTTGTATATATACACATACTTAAACTACAAGAGAATTACCACACCCGGCCTTTTCTGTTCACATGTAGTCTCAAGTTTCCTGCTCAGGCTAGTCTGGAACCTCAGTCCTCCTGATCTTTTTCTCCCAACTAGCTAAGATTGCGGCAATGAGCTGCCAGTGCCCCAGCGGTATTGATTGGGGTTTGAACTCTGAGACTCCAGCTTGCTAGGCATGCACTTAGCTCTGTCTGCTGAGCATGTACCCTGTGGGTTTACTGATTTCCAGGACAGCCGTGTGTCTGTGTGTGTCTGTGTGTCTGTCTGGCTACATCCCCGCCCCCTGGCAGTGTAACCCCCTCCCAGCTTTGGATGTCATGGAGGTGATGTGGTGGATCCCAGTGTCTCTGATGGCCAGTCTTCAATTTCAGCTCAGGCCCCTGAGCAGGGAACTTGGCTCTGCTGCCCCACACTTCAGGCTGTACAACTGTGAGCTTTTGAGGCTGCCTGCTAAATACATGGTAATTTATTTCTCAGCAGTAGAAAAGGAGCACCTCATAAATTATGAATAGTCAGTACAGACGGAATTGCAGTGATTTTTTTCAGGGCAAGCCACAAAACAAAGGAATAAAAGGAGGCCCCTCCTCCCCCCAAAAAAAATGTAGCATGCGTACTGTCGGCCATGGCACCGTCTTTGCTTCGCCAGTGCTCTGTAAATGGGCTGAGCAGCAGGTGGTGGATTTCAGCTGCCTTACAGCCATGACTGGAAATTGTGAAAACACGGTTGATGATACTACCTCAGCGTAATACCATGCAACATAGAGACACTGCCAAGCAAACTACAAGCGTGTTACTAGCACCCAAGCAAATCTCCACAGAGATTTCTTAAAGCCGTAACGAAGTTAGGGGTTGTTGGGTAGGGTCTTCTGAATGGATGGATAGTGTACTACAGTCTGTAGGATGTCTTCAGTGGAGAAGCCCATGAGGCATGTTTACAGTCAGGGGCGTGGTGGATCTATCTCAGCACCACCCCGAGATCAAAGAGAAATCCGCACGTGTGACCATAAGAGGCACGGGAAGTTCACCCGGAAGAAAATGAAGTAAGGGAGATTCATTCCAAGTACGTGCTCAAAACCCGTATCCCTCATTCAATCCTACATCGGCAAGTCAGCATTTAAAGCGTTTTGTGGGGTCTTAAAAGAGCGACGAGAAATGACGAGTCAAATATCTAATTTGATGAATCCCCGAGTAGCGTCCTAGAATGTTAGATTTTTACCTTGCGATTTAAATTTGGAGTCCCCCAAAAAAGTGGCAGGAATAGAGCATTTGAAATGCCGAAGTATTTGTTAAGTACAAGTCCACAGCATCTAAGGATCTCAGCTAGCTCCAGGCGTGAGAAACAGAAGGTCCAGAGCTGGGGGTAGCGTGACGGCAGAGTTCCCATTGGAAACTGCAAGTGAGGGCGCGGTGGAACGCTTCTACTACCCAAGGACACTGCCATCAACCGCGAGTGCTCACCCGCTCCAAGGATGCTCTCACACAACTGGAAGAAAGCAAAGCAAGCATGGCCCGGTTACGGACACCCAGCTGAGGAGAGCCAAGCCAGGAATCCCTATATTGTATTCTGTGGAAAACTCTCATCTGTCAAGTTTGAAACTCATTAAGCCAAGCACCCGTGCTCACGCTTGTCATCCTAGGTACTCAGGAGGCTGAGATCTGAGGATCCTGGTTCAAAGCCAGCCTGGGCAGGAAAGTCAGTGAGACTCGTCTCTAATTAACCAGCAGAAAACCAGAAATGGTGCTGTGGCTCAAGTGGTAGAGCCAAGTGCCAAGACCAGCGTGCGTGTGCGTGTGCACATACACACACACACACAAAGACACACTGTACTCTGCCTG